GCTTTACATTGCACCCTCTGGGACTGTCGCTCCCATTAACCTTTTTGCACATCTGTTTTAGGCGCATACGACAAGAAAAAACAACACTCGTGTCGAACTTGGGCGCGATAGATCTCAAACGGTGCGCGGAGTTGTGCATGTAGGGAATCACAGCGAAACGACCTTTCCTTTTGGAAACAGCTTGCGGAAGTTGTGGTTTGAGAATGAACCGCTCAAGGTTGGAACAAAGTAGGTCAGTAGGAAAGCCTGCTTTCTCCAACCTGTGCTGCTGCAACTTCAGGCTACTTTCAGAGAAATGCGTGCACGACTTGGAGTATGAGGACTTGAAAACTGACCTCACTATGCCATGCTTAACTGACTTGGAGTGAGCACTGGTGAAAGGGAGAACTGGCTTCTCCTACCTCTTGGGCCTTCCAGCAGAGGTCGGAGAAGCCACCGTAAAGCGAGTAATTAAATAGCTTTTTTTTTTTTATTCGTACAATCCACTTTTATTTTTACATACCAAAAATATATAAAAATTTATACATTTACTTACGACGAAACAGTAAAAGAAAAGCAAAATTACATGCTAAAGGTCGTGTTTATACACTCAATATCTAGTTGTTTACCTCAGTCGCATACATTTAACCTGCAGCGAAAGGTTATCACGAAGTCTGGTAGGTGCCTAAAATACCCGTGAGTGGTACAACTTTGCGTAGCAGTATTAAAACTTGAATCCTAATTGTGCTTTTGAACTTAAAAATTCATTACAGTGCATGAAACTATAGAATACACCCCGTCTCACCATATATATTGTGACATCTAATTTACAAAATGTGACGTGACATTACGACAGCATATCTTGAGCACCATGATGTCGTGTGGCCACGTGACACATGATTTACCACCGTACCACTAGAAAAGCGCCGTGATAATCCACAATTTCTCCTACATTGCAATTCGGTATACGACTATTAAATCACTATATAGAAATATTAGCTGCCAATTTTTATTTCTCAAACGTGCATTTTGTAATAAAGAAAAAATACCGTGAGCCGTCTTGGACCGGTTACTCTTACATTTTTTTTTTCCGATTCAGTTCCGTTCCAGTTCCAAGATGGCGGCGAAGATTTCTGTTCGGTTCAGTTCCGGTTCGGCTAAAAATAACGGTTCAGTTCCGGTTTTCGCTTCGGTTCCGGTTTGACACTCTGGTGCCTGCTGCTCAAGATTTGCCCTTCCCCCTTATATATTTTTATTTTGATTGTAGTACTCTTGCATTCTCCTGAATCTATACATACCTCTACTTTCTTGTATGTAGAGTCAGACCTTAAACACGTATTCACATATTTTACACATTTCACACTCATCACCTTTAAAACTCTTGACGGCTAAGTTGTCACCACTGACTCTGGACATAATCTCTGACGTAGACCACAGACGTCCGTTAATTTTTTTGATCCGGTGCAAGTCTGTTGGTGCTATAGTCCGTGACAGGTTAAGAGTGGAGTGGAATCTCCTCCCACCTCTTTCCATTTCAGCAGAGCGAACGTTGGAGTGGGTGTCGCCTCCTCTCCAGAGTTCGCTCTGCTGAAGTGGAAAGAGGTGGGAGGAGCTTAATTTGCTCTTAACCTGTCAGACCATAGCTAGTGGTAATGATAGAAAATAAACTTTGATCAATCGCTGGTATCCAATAGTCGCATTTCCAAACATTCACTGACTAGATATCCGACCACTGGAAATAGGAGTATATTGAAGAAGAGGGATAAGATAAAAGCCAGGTTGTCCTGAAACCTTAAACCTGCACCTTTAATCACATTTAATTTTTTTAAACATGCACTAGACAAAATGTAACGTTGTAGCTATAATGATCCACTGCAATCATTACAAATGTTGTGGTGGATGATTTAGTTTAACAAATGCAGTGTGGTACGTTATCGCATAGCTCAGCGGCTGCAGTTCTGAATTTTGAACAGTTGTGCGCATTTGACAGAAAAAAAGTGAAATAAAATAAAACTAAACATGAACCCCTTAGTACAAAAAAATTATAATCAGGGTAAATAACATTTATTTTCAAAACATCGTATAACTGTCGAACAGTCTGACGAATGAGAGCGAATCCTAGTCAGTGCAATACGCAAATTCACACAAAAACATCCACCATCATTAGCGACACCCTATCCGTCTTTCTGCCAGCACAAAAACCTAAAGGTTTGTTTCCGGACACTATATTACACACTGATGGATTGATTGATTGACTCTATACATCGCCCTCTGCGCGCTGCCATCTTTGTTCACTGGACTGTGCACTCTCATAAATAGAGGGTGTACAGAGGGTGTACCACATGTAACACCCCAAAACTACATTTCGACGTTCTGTCCACCGACGGCGAGCTGGCGATACCAACTTCCATGAGCGGCTTGATAGTCAAGCGATACAACTTATTAAAATAGATAATGTACCCATTAAAGGCTACAGTAAGACAATAAAGTTTTTTTTAGACCTGCTGCAAAAGCTCAGTATTTTTTTCTTGTAGTATTTGCTACGCACATTAGCTATTTACTACGTTATATTCAAGAGCTATCAAGCCCAGTGCAAAAGTTGGTATCGCCAGCTCGACGTGAGTGGCCAGAACGACGAAATGTAGTTTTTAGGTGTTACATATGGGACAAGGGGTCTACCCCTGCACACCCCCTATTTCTGAAAGTGTGGGTTATGTTCGGAGCCTCCGCGAAATATTGTACTCCGCGCCGTGACTATGCATATCCTGCCAGGATGATAAGCGACGGAAAGGCGAACGAGACGAACGTCTCCCGCAGAAGGGGTCACAGAAAGACCGATAGGCACGAAATCACTATTCTATCCTAATGTAAACAAAGCGAGCGTCGGAGAAATCGGGCTGAATATTTGCGTCCCTTACACCTGGCATTTTCGCAATCCTCGATGTATTCCGATCTGAGGTCATATCATCTCTCTCTGTTACCGCCGCTCCACAAAAGAGCAGGAACCGATTCGTGGCGTTTCCTGCCCGATGTCCGGATCGTGGAAACACCTGGGTAATGCAGTGGGCCGGAGGTCTCTGGCCCCACCTCGGGAAATCCCCACACGTGGCGCCTTTCTTTGATTTTTTTATTTTTTTCATCTCTGACGGCGGCAGGGCCGACGAATGGCGTCCTTCGTTGCAAACGGGTTTTCCTGCCTCCAAACGCGACCGGACGCAACACTCCGTTTCGCGACCTTACCATAAACCGCAGAGGACGCTGCGAGCTACCGGAGCCAATCCAGAACTCACTGTTTGTCACGTGGTCTTACAGCTACGGCGAGGAGCAATCGCGGAGGAGCAACGGATTGGTGGAGATGGCTCGTTGCATGCAGCTGCGGTGCGCTGTAAGGTTGGAACGGAAAGAAGGGGGAAAGAAGTTCGCGCCGGCCGCCGACGCAGGCACGTGCGGCATTGAGAGAGTCGGAATGGACCGAACCGTGACGTGGAGAAAAGTGGCGTCCCCGTCGGTCGGTTGCTCGTTGCGCTGAAAACCGTATTCGAGCGATATCTTTAGAAGGCGTGAAAGAAGGGGGAGAGGGAAGGCAACACTCCCTTCGGCGATTGTGGTGGAGAGCTGTTTTGACGTTATTGTGAGTCAGATGACACGTGCGGAAGGAAAAGGTGAATGGTAGGTAGGGCCTCCGGAGAAAGTGGGACCTTTTGTACTACACATCGTTGTGAAATTGTTGTGAAAGAAGTCCGAGGAACGCTTTCGATAGCTTTAACTGTGTTGACGCTAGTATCTTAGCATCTACTGAAAAAAAAATAAAAAAATGGATGGTGTAAATGAGTTTGCGCTCGATTAACTTCTACGCGAGGTTTTTTTTAGGATTGTTGGTAAATCGAACAACCGAACCATTCGGTTGCCGGTCCGTTGATCGCATTTCATTTGACCATGACTATTATATGATTGACAAATTTGCGTTTGGAGGGAAAAAATAATTAAGTTGTTGTGACAAGCTATATCACGCGAATTCTAGTTCTTTACAAAGCTCAGTGGTTATGACTATGAGGCGGCATATGTATTGTAAAAATTCAGAGCATAGGTGATTTTATGAATGACCTGCTAAACTAAGGATAAGAGTGATACGTGTTTTTTTATGTGGGACGTAAGGTGCTGATCTACCGGCCGAGAGACGTTCGCGCGATATTGTTAAAAAATTGGGTTGCGTGTATCTTTATAAAGCCTAGAACTTGGTCTGCCTCACAATTGGTTCTGCAGCGCGAGCTTTCGCCCCACGTGCTCCGGGCAGCTGTGCGCTAGCCCACTCGGCCACCGATCCCTCCCGATATTGTTAAAACATCTGGAGGCTGTACCTAATCTTAAACCTGTATCGATCAGAACGTGGACATAAGATCCACGGGTTTGAATAACTGGTTCTCCTAGGCCGAACCTACTTGACCTTCTGGCTGCCGGTTTGGCTTCATTACATGAGTGCACATTGTGCACATGATATAACGAATATAACTGCATCTGACTGTGAAAAGTGCAGGTTACAGTTATATGCCAGAGATCCCGAGAAGCTATTGCGTCCGCGTATCTTGTAGAAATTCGGAAGTTCCCACAGCGAATAACGATAATATTAAGTAATTTAGCCATTACCGGTTCATGAAGCTCAGTTGCAACCTCTTACACACGCTTGCAAGTATTTCAGGAATTGAATGTGTGCATGGTATGGGCAACGAGGATATCTCAGTTCGGAAAATTTATTCAAGTTGGTTCATGCCCGATTTGGGAACGAATGTGAAGTTCGTTCATAAATATTAAATGTATTCATCGCGAGCTGACTGAAATGAATTGACATGTACAGCGTCTGTGAGAGGACGTGCACTTGATGAACTGCTAAAGGACGGAATGAACTATCCTATACACAAACAGAACATGCCAAAAATATTGCAAACCATAGTCAAGTTAACATTAGCAAGAGCTCAGCTGCGCGGTGTTTCCAAGAGGGAAAAGAAAAGGATGTTCTACGCTACCTGAAGTTCCCATTCCTGGCGATGCTTCATGTTGACCGTGAAATCCTTCAGCCGGCTTTAAAGGGATAACCGACGAAGCGTCGTGCGGGTCGCCCAGTCAGCCAGGAATTAAAGACACCGTCGCCCGTCGCGGCAAAAAGGGTCGGCAGCCATTATCGCGGGTGGATAAAGCACCGTATCTGGAGAATAATACTTTTCAGTTATCAGACGACTGAAGGCTAAATTAACCCGAGCTTTCCAAAGAAACGCTACCGGCCATGCTCGGCATTGCCGGCGCTCTGTCGAGACAGGTTCTTTTCATAATAAGAAGCCGAGGTTGCGAGGGGCTTGCATCGAGGAAAGAGGCACGACAAACCGAACAAATACGAAAATTAAAAAAAAAAGGGGAAGAGGAGGTTGTTCTTTCTCTCGACGCAAACTCTTTCAGCGGATAGCGATGTAGGCCGCACCGCGGCGGTGACGCACGCGAGGAGGTGCATCGAGCCTTCGGCGTGATGCCGTCCCAGATATTGCCGTGTGTTTGCCGAACGATTATTCCACCTTGAGCGGGAGGATGCCACGCGCCTAGCATCGCTCGGGCGTGCGTTTTGGAAAAGATGGGATATATATATATATATATATATATACTCCAAACGACTAAAGTTTCGCGAATTTCGCGAATGGCCTACAACTCGCGAAAAATACGTACGTCCCGCGAACCATTCGGGCAATATGCGAACGCTACGGAAGCTACACTCGATTCGAGAAAATTAGAACCCGCGATTATCTTCAAATTTTCAGCTTTTGCCCGATTCGCGAAAATTTGAGCCTGCGAAAGTTATGTCGTTTACAGTATACATATACACCAACTCATGTTTACAAACAAACCGGAGCGCCCCGAGCGGCCCTAGCGGACGCCACCGGCGCCGCGCATGCGCGATGGGGGTGTGGGCGAGAAGCTCGCCGTCGCCCCTAAACAAACCATTGAAATGCGATGTTGTCGGCGTCGGTGTGAGCCCCCGCGCTCTTTTTCGCGTTGGAATTATTGATTCTACGTCCTCCTAACGATGACTGACTACTTGAGCGGCGTCAGCGAAATTAACGAGGCTCGTTACACCGCAAAACTTCGCGTGAACAATCTGACACGCGGCGATTCATTCCGCCTGGACGCCGCAGAATGTACGCTAAAGCCTGATTCACATGATGAGATTTCGCTCGCAATTTTCAGTAGCGACGTCGCTCGAACTGCAAAAGCGTGAACCGTAGCTGAGATGGTCGACGTCGATACTGAAAATCGCAAGCAGAATCTAACCAAGTGAATCAGGCATAACAAATCGGCGACGGCCACTGGTAACAATGATCAACATCTCCTTGTGTCTACTGTTTACGTCGAGCCGGCTTACCAACCTTCAAATTTAAGTCTTTTGAGGCCTGCACTTCTTATCGCAAGTACCGGGCCCACGTTTGGTCTACGGGCCGGTGTCCTCTGAAAGAGCAGACGACAAGCAGAAACGTTTGAAAGAGCAGACGACAGTTCGAACGATCAGCCGACCGTTTGAACTGAACGTACTCCGCAGGTGGTCCGTACAACTTGACGGTTTTCCGGCGTTCATTTTGGAACAAAACGAATAAATCTGATGCCAAGAAGTATCCGTGATTTCAACCGAAAATGCTTCCCGCCCAAGCAATCGTGGTCCGACGGCGTCTGGTTTTCCTTTTTTACGGCACATTTTCAGGTTCTCGGACGAACCGAGTGCATGAAAACTGACCTTCAAACCTTTCTCGACCCTTTTGGTGCAGCCCCAGCCGCAGCATTTTGACAAGAAGGCAGGTTTTTGTCTGGTTCCTTTCAAAACAACGCAGGAATACACGTCTCGCATGGGCACTTCCGCCCACAGCCCCGGACCGGAAGTGCGTCCGACGCGTTACCACCGCGCCGTGACGTAACAGAGATGAGTTCGTGTATATAAAGTGTTTATTTTTGTTTATTTCAGATTTGTTTGAAAAAGCCGTGAAAGCTCCACTTATGCGGTTTGTGCAGGTGAGTTATACGGCCAGAGGGGACATACTGTAGGGAGATAGTCGCAACTATCACTCAGCTAATTAAGTAAACTTTGTTAATTAACTTTTTAATTAGTGGAAATAGACATATAGTTCCAATTAGAAACTTGCTGAGCATCATCGAAAACCTCTAAATCAACTCTTTTTCGGAGTATATAACGCCGGGGCAGCATTTAACGACGTTCTGTAAAAACGCTCCATTTGGACGCGTCTCTAGGTTTCGGTTTCTTATCGGAGCGCATTTTTGCGCCCTCGGTCCTGCTCCCCGGTGGTCGCGCCGCAAAGCCACCTCCTCGCCTCCCTCGTAGAATAGAGGGAAGTGCGGCGCCCGTGTGTTGCGCGCCTCAGCCACTGGGGAGCAGGACCGCGGGCGCAGAGATGCGCTCCGATAAGAAACCGAAATCTAGAAGCGCGGGCAAATGGAACATTTTTACAGAACGCCTTAGAATGCTGCCCCGGCGTTATATCCTTCTAAAACAAGTTGATTTAGTGGTCTTCGATGATGCTTAGCAAGTTTCTAATTGGACCCATATGTCTATTTGCACTAATTAAAAAGTTAATTAACAAATTTCACTTCATCAGCCGACTGATAGTTGCGACTATTTCCCTATAATATGTCCCCTTGGCCCTATAACTCACCTCCACAAACCGTATAAATGTAGCTTCCACGGCTTTTTCTAAACAAATCTGAAAGAATAAAAAGAGACGCCCTTTATTTAGCTGCTGTATGATGAACATATTCAATCAACCCGAGGTAGAGGGTGTAAGAAAGTTGGCGTCGAATTTCGTATTTCCTCAGCCTCGGATTGCTTCAAAATCTTCAAATTGCTTCTTTCTTTCTTTTTTTCTTTTTGTTTTGCGGTGATGTCATTGGAACAAAGTAGACGTTGCAGCTTGAAATCTGGACGTAGCTGAGAGTTTCGGTGTCCAAACGCTGGCCTCGTTTTGAGAAACTGTGCGCCAAGAAATAAGCTTACTTTATTCATTAGGATCATTCATTCATAATAGCATGCATTTTTTTTTTGGCGATGGTTTGTATGTCAGTTGATTTACTCTGACTAGGATAACTGTCCAGTAAAACTTCCGTGTCAATTTTTGGTACTGCTGTCCATGCACTAAAATCGGAAAGCTTGCGGCATCACGAAACACCAACAGGGGGCAGGGTTGCGACACGCTATGTTACGTTATCACTGGGTTGCAGGGTAGCATAGTCTGGGAAACACCACTTTAGAAACTAGCGGTTCTGCAATTCACGGGTCCAGATCTTTGTTTTCTGCTCAGGTGGGAGGGCGACCCCGCTTTTTCGTTTGCTTTTATTTCACTGCCATGTCGAGTTTCTAAACATTAAGTTTTAAAAACCTCCCTATATTAATGTTACGTAAGCAAATCAAAGGTTGTACGCTATTCACTTCTCTGGTAACAATGATACTTCGCGAATATTTCTGTCTTGAATGACAAATAAACAAAAAAATTCCGTGTCTAAAAAGAGGAAATATTGTTTTTTTTTTAATATTGTTTGGAGGCGTTGCGATTACGTCTTGATGCCTGTTTATTTCACGTCAATCTTTCTTGCAACCATAGGGAGGCCCATAAATGGTTAATCTTAATAATGTACTTTCTCGAAAAATTTCCTTCCCAAATTAAATACCTGACTGTTCTTAAAACTTAAGTCTCGAAATATCTTTTTCTTCACAACATTTAGTCATTCAGGAACCGTTTTTTTATCTGCCAAACGCTCTCTCGAGAGGTATGCTCATCAAAATAGTGATAAAGATCAGTTATTCTCACGTCAGTCATTCCCACCTAAAAAATATCACGTTTAAACTCACACTCTAAAAGGCTGATAACATACAATGAACACTTGGGAAGCTCTTGAACGTACTTTAAATAACGTAAAGGCTTTAAAATACTTTCATATTTAGGTAGGCGTGGCCTGTGCATACACCTACCTCCAACCAAATTTACGACCTGATGGCGGTGCTGCGTCATGTATGTAGCCCGGTTGTGGTATTACTCTCCAGGAGCATAAGTCAAGTGAAAATGCGTGACTCTGAGTTAAGCACATGACTTCCACCCTTGTACGACAGCTAACGTGCTCGCTTGTTGCACCGTCAGCAGCGTTACATCTACACTGAGAGCATAAATGCGGTGTGCACAAGACTTGCTCGAACGAGATACTGGCATGTGTTGGCATGTATGAAGCAAGTCTTGATATAAATCTAACTAAATACAGTCACATGAAAGAAAAAAAAAAAGAAAAATATATATATATGCCACGACAATTCAGCTTACCTCCTACAGACCGCATCGCCGTAGGAAGTAGTGAACACGGAACTACAAGAGCAGGCTCGGCGCGTTGAATGTTCCTGTCGCGCCCATGCTCTCATGCATTGCAACCGACTTCATGGGCTTGGATGTTTGCTGTTCAAATAGGGCCGGTCGGCCGACGGCGCACCTCAAATTTGCCAGTCGTTTGAGCAGGCGCTAAAGCTGGCGGAACGTCATATTCCTCCGCAACACTTCGTGTTTCCGGGAAGACATTTATTTTTAGTCGTGTATATGTGTACGTGCTTGTAAACTTTCGTTTGTATCTTACTTTAGATTATAATTGGTTTCACGAACTATGCAACTATCTTCAAAACACTCGAACATACGTTTAGCCAAAAGTGTTTAGTGAAGACGTTTTCTTTCCTTGTCTTTCGCAATCTTTTCACTTGCATAAGTCTAAGCACTGACCCAGTGTGCTCAGTATATATCCTGAATATAAGGAAGTCATACACTTTTATGTAGTGACACAAGATACAGTCGTGTTAGCAGTTTGTAGCACTAAACAGTGGAGCGTTGTATCTCTCGGACTGTTTGATTGCGCTGGAAGGTGTTTGATTTGAAGATTTTTTGGCTCTGAATTCTGACCACCTGCGTGTGTTTCACTAGAACTTTGGTTGGGGCTAGTTAGTTCATATCGATTAAAAGGTTAAAAGGCGCAAACAAACAGGACGAAAAAAGAGACACGTACGACACGTACGTAAAAAACGCCTGTCCGTGTCGTATACGTGTCTCTTTTTTCACCATCAGATTTTTTTTTTTTCATGCGAGCCCATAAATTATGCGGGCGAAGATTGAGAGAAAAACGTACGGGGAGGTAACAAAAGCAAAATAAAAGCGAAATAACAAAACAAGGCAGCTATAAATCCTATCCTTTTGTGTTTTTACCCGCTCGGCGTCAACCTTAGCGGTTTTAGCCTTCATTGAACTCTCGCTTTTTACCCCCTGAATGGCATTTGAAAGACCGTCCTTGCTTTGAGTTTCTAAATATTTAAAGAAAAATTTAGCTGGGCCAGAGCTTGACGTGTTTTCAGGCATTAATAGACAACTTTATTATGAAGGTCTGCCACACAGTGGAGGCGCATTCAATACCGATACACCTGAGGGGGA